ATCCCTGCTTGGGTGATTAAGTCGTTGTTATAGAACTGTCTTTGCTTGTCTTCTTTTGTAGTGTAAACAGGGTCTAAACATTGTTTAGTTAATTTCTCACTTGTTGGCCAAATAATGTTCATTGCAATTATTTCTCGCGTGGTTTTTCTTGAGATATCGAGAGGAAACAAAATTATTTGACGAACGATCAAATGTTTGGCAATCGAAAACCACATTTTCGTACGCTTCAGCCTTTGAATTCTAAACTTATCAGGCTTTTTTCAGTTATTATGAGAATGTAGTGTGTAGACTCATAAACTTGTAAGGTTGTCTAGGACTTTTCTAATGTAAGAAAAGAAAAAGAAATGGTGATTGATTCTGCAGAAAATGTAATTCTCCAAATAAAAATCTAGCAGTGCTAAGGGAAATTTTAAACATTTCTTGAAATGAATCTGTGTAGACTCGTAAAATTTTGGGGGTTTTATTAAGATTTTTCTAATGTTATGAAAGAAAATGAAAATTTAATGTTTAAATTTGTCGATTGATTCTGTAGGAAATTAAATTCTCCAAATGAAACTCTAGCAATGCTACAAGGAGATTTCAACTTTTCTTAAAATGAATCTGTGTAGGACAAATTGTCAAATTGTTTAACTGTTGAACATTTTGTTTTCCTTTCCTTGTGTGAGAAGAGACAGCAACCAACCTGAAAGCTCTGCCACTTAATTTAGCTGCTGTGCGCGTATTTTAAACTCATACATTGCTTAGTTTAAACTACAGTTTGTTTTCTGTAGTGTAAGTGCAGAAAACAATATGTGAATATAATGTGAATGCAGATTTGATGTTATTTGATTTGAGCAAGAAATTCTGAGTAAAGTTATATTTGCTACATGTACGTCCCTGTAGTGTTGTTTTAAGTATAATTTTTTTCAATTCCTTGTAAGTTATCCATTATGGACATATTAACCGACGTCACGCTTTTCCCTCTTTTTTCATTCAAATAAAATATAAGCCTCACCGCTCGATTTATTATGCCGAATTCGATGAATATGCGAGGTTTCATAAGAATGGGTTGCAAACTCATAAAAGTATAGGAAGTCAAACTTGGCCAATTTTTTTCTTTTCTCGTAAAAATTGGCAAGTTTGGAGTCCCATATTTTCATTGCTTTGCGACGGATTGCTATGAAACTTCGCCCATTTACTAAATTCGACATGATACACTGACCTATGCAGGTTTTTTTCCTTTGTTCAGCATCAAAAATACAAAAAATTGGTTACATTGCCTGACATGGGTAGAAAGGTCTATTGGTGTTTTGGAGAAACAGGAAGTGATACGTTCGTCGTTCCCGGGGGGGGGGGGGGGGGGTATCCATGTTCACTTGATTCCTTAAAAACTTAACTTCTTCTCCCTTGTTCCCTAATATTAAAGTCCATTGTTGCCTAAACGTTTTCTCAAAGTTCCCTTTAATAGTAGAGATATCTCTTGTTCCCCACAGCAAGAGAATATGATCTGCCTAAAGTTAATCCCAAAAATACCCTTGAAAATACCCTTGCTCCCTTGAAATATCGTCATGTTCCCGTTGTTCTCCAAAACCTCTGCGAGACCCTCCCCCTCATCGCCGTGGCGTATCAGTTGAAAATATAATCCTTTGAAAAAATCAGAGTGAAAGCGTCTACGTAAATGGCTACCTTCTGCTAGAATTGACAGAACCCAGATGAAAAAGTTTTTGTCACAAGGAGTCGAGAGAGCACTTGCATCCAGGGCTTTTTCTCGTAACACTGAAGTTGGCATTTACTGTGCCAGGATTTATTTAGTTGATGAAGGTTTAATTTTAAAAAAATCCCTTCCTCGTCCCCAGACGCCGCACTCCTAAGAGTTTTGGTGGGCGGCCTCTAGCGAGGGAAATGCAAAACCAATGAGGGCTGTGATGTGAGACTTTTAGGGACGGACAATTATTCTTTTTGAGGGAGTGGGGTCAGGGCTTTCAGTTGCCTGTTGTCTACAGGAGAGAACAACAGAACATTTTGTATCTGTATCATAAAACAACAAATTTTAATAAAAGTTACAAGTTGCACGTTAATTAAATATTTTTACATTCAGAGTTTACTTAACTAATATCCGCTTAACCCACAAAAAGCAAAAATAATAATCTAAGGCAGGGTGAAGTGAAGAATAAATATCAGAAATTCATTTGGACAAATTTGGGTATACATTAAACGAATCTGAACCGTGTAGTATAACTGGAAGGTGTTCAAAGATGCTTGAGCTCTCTCCACGTACGACTCGTGGATACCTCGCGTGACTCGTGGTGTCCTCGCGTGCCTTGCAAAACTGCATGTGTGCCGTGCAATTTATTTCCAGGAGCCGCTTTTGTATCAAGACTAGTTGAATGAGATCACTGAAAGGTTATAAGGTATTCTGGGTAGCACTGATTATCAAAGAAAACAACAAAGATATTAGGACTTTCACACTGATCTACAACAGAGTCGTACAGCACTTCTGGCCTGGAAGGATCTTTTGGTGGAGGTACAATCAAATCAAAGTCTCCATCGCAATACTGACCAACCAGGACCCGCGCGAGGTACATGTAGCGATTTCCACCCGGAACCCCTGCATATCGAACTGAATAAGAAGCATCTTTTGCAAAATACACACCACGTCCAAGAATTCCACCTGCAAAAGTAATCCAGACAATAACTTACAAACTTTAGAAAAACATCTGTACTGCTTTAAAAGCTAAAGAGCTGGCTCCAACAGCAATTTGATACCATAACCTCGTCTGTGAAACTCACTTTTTTACCCCCATGTAATTTCTAAGAAAGGTTACGTCTACATACGAGCCAGTGGCTCATCAGTAAAGTCGCATTATACCCAAGAACGTCAACACAGTGTCTCCAGCCAAACCGGGAGCACTGGATCCAGAGTAGAGCGCACAAATCATGAGGCCACTGGGCCTCCACCCAGTTTTAAGAAAACTGGACTGGCCACCATTTTAAGGTTTGTATCAATGCCACCATGTCTTTTGGATCATACATAAGTTAATTTATTTCATGTCCTCTTGGGTCTTTCAGTGAAATATATAACAAGATAAAAGGATATAGGGTAAAACAAAACACAATAAAATTAGTCATATGTAGCTTAAAATAGTCAGCAGTATAATGTAAAGTAAATTGGTCAAACATAACAAGCTTAATATGTTTTGGGAGAGGCAAGTGCAAATAACTGTTATTTTGAAGGCCTGTCTCACACAAAGGGGAATATACGCTGAAATATACCTCTACACATTATTATCAGAATTTAAATGGGCATTCTTGCTATTGGTCGTGCTAAATACTAATTCCCTGCAACTCACCATGGAGTCTACAGAAGCTCCGGTTAAAACCTTGTGCATTGATACGGCTGATATTTTCTCCTCTGGTTCCATGGAAGAGTTGTCGTTCACCCTCAACTCCTCCATTGTCTTGGCTCATTTTCAATTTTTTCAACATGTAAGTCTGATACAGATGAGGATTTTGTATTCATTCAATTTTCTGGACATTTAGTGCACTTGCAGTGGCTTGCAACTTGTCCATGACATCTTGATACTCTGAGGAGTCTGAGGAGAGCTGTACTGTGTGCACAGTTGTGTTAGGGTGTGGCATTGGTGTCCAATTCTCAGGAAAAATAAATCCTGGTTCAGCGTAAAAAATGGTAAATTATGATATTAAATATTAATATCATCTTTATCTTGTGTATCTTCCTCGTAGTACCCAGCTAACATTAACTAAGTAGGCTGAAATAGTGTGTATATAATATTTAATTTCGAAAATCATTTTTGACAATACAGTAGAAATTCCCTTTATGGCCACCTCTTTAACACAGTCACCTCGTTGTTACGGCCACTTTTTTGTCCCAGAAAAATGCCCATACAATTTTTATAAGAAAACCCCATGAATACATGCAGTCAACCCATTAATTCAGGGTGGCAACAAAACAAATAATGGGAAACAAAATTAAAAAATACTCTTTTCTATTCAAAGTGCCTCACATTTCATGTCATTATTTCCATGGTTATGAAAGGACTACCTCTTGAGATATCTAAACCTAAATTAATTAGAACATGGTCATCAGTACAAATTTATCACATACATATAAATATTTTAGCTTGTAGGATGCTGTCTTGTAGTCATGACATTATTTGATACCTGCATGCATATCACTCAGTGTGAGATTAAGGGTTTAGAGGCAGGGGGAACGGAAGGCTATCCCGTCTCTGCCAAAATATATTTTTCTATCAGCCCAAACCCTGGGGGGAACTCCCATATATGGGGGTGCTTGTCATACCTTTAAGGGATTAAAAAAGTGGATTTCATATCTCTTAGGGTCTTCAGCCTCAAAAGGTCCACAGCAGGAGCTTTTGCAGTGCATGTTAGGCATTACGCAAAAAAAAATATTACAGGGGATAATGTGTTGTTTTAGAATTGGTACCTTTTAGGGTTGAAAACAATTTCAAGCCACACCCACAAAGCATTCAAAGCAGGATCTTGGGACTTCTTAGAGATCTTTCCAAAATTTCCAACGAGAACCCTCGTCCTTTTTCATGTGGGAGTCCGCTGACCTCCCCCCGCGCCCCAACCCAAATGATTAATGTAGGCACAGATTACCAAGACGGTGTGCATTACCAATGACTATTACCAGTACAAATATTAAAAAATGATTTCCAGTCCATACTGCGCAGTCTCAGCACCCTAATGTTTGTAAGCATTATGTCTCACTTGATGGAATGCAAATCAACATTATTTGTTGCAAACCACATACCTTATCTTTGAAGCCTTTCAAATTCTTTTTCCAACCGTTTCATTGATTTTTATGGCTGCGAAGTTCATTCATCAAGTGATACGAGACAGAGCAAAACATAAAGCTTCACATCCATAATGGCGGTTGACATGAAACTTTAAATTTACTTCACGTAATTAGACGCAAAATGTTACATTTTATGATGTCTTACATGAACCAACACAAAAAACGTAAACAAACTCTCGAGAGTGTGCAGTACGGATTGAAAATAATCTTTAATCACAATAACAATCACAATAACCTGCAGGTTGATCAGAGGATCTCAACCACTTCCTGGTTAGTATTATGTGTTCACCAGTCTGCTGCCCCTGGCCAGTTTTAGTCATCAGATCAATAATAAACACTTCTCCATGTAGGCTTACGTCTACTCTGGGTTCATCTTTGTAGTATGCCATCTCAATCTTTTCCTTTGTTTCCTGATCACATAATATTTTAGTCCCATGTCTTTCATAACTCCATTCTGTGCTCGCTAAATCTGGACCGGTATGTTGTCCTCCACCAAGCATAATGTTGAAAGCTTCACCGAGTACACTCGAATTAATTTGTTACCTGCAATAGCACGTAATTATATTACACATGTATATCATTCATTCCAATTACAACGAAAACATACATTAGAATATACATCAGAGCATTTGATTTCGAGCCGGAAGGGATACTTCGATTCGGTTCGAAGCTAAGTTTATGCTAAGAAACGGGGAAAATTTACTAGTGTTTATTGAATGTCGGAAACTGTAGGACATTTAGGTGCGGAGGCTAAAATGAAAATTCTACGTGTATCGCAACGTTTTAGCATTCGATCATGGACTAAAAATAACAACTCTGTATAGTTGTTTACATCCCTGACATCCCTTTGTCCTGCCTAAATAAAATGTCACGCAAACTCAGAGCGATAGCCAGTGTATAAACAACAAAACATAGCGAGGTGGCTGAGGAGTGTTAAGGAATACATGAGACAAACCCAGAACTACATACGTAAGTTAGATGATATCTTCATGTCCTTATATTATACTGTGCTGTAGAACGATCTAGATGAGGTATCATTCACGAATCACGCAAGCCCGTGTCAAAAACCACGTACCACCAAACAGGCACGGAAATACGTTGTTATTGAGTAGAAACCTAACCTAAAAAAAAGTAGTGGCTTACCTTCAGGTAAGAAGAAATAAAACCCCGAGGGATCGGCTACACGTAGGCTATGAGGGATCAGGCAATCAAGGAAGTGCATGCCGCCACATGAAGCTTATTTTTTTGGTGCCACGTGACCTGACATCATGGGTGATAACGCTGGTCATGCAGTGTGTTCACGTGACGTCATCAAATTCTCAAATCCAAAACTAAAGTCATCCTCATCAGGAAATAAAAAGGCTAAAAAGCTAAAATTACAATTAAACGTAAACTTACAATGATTTTAAAATGCTAAAATTACAACTTAATATACATTTATCTCGTGATTTTTAGCCATTTTAGGAGTTAAAATATTAGGAGTGCTTGTGTAAATGTTTTTTGGTTCTGTTCAGATAATCAGACAACTAGATAACCAAAGTAAGTTTTCCGGCCGCGATATTGGAGGACTAAGGAGGTCCACCAACATGGCGGGGGGCTCTATAATTTTGCGCGGAACATTTCGACGAATATCTCAACTTTGGGACAACGCACACAGCTTAAACTTGGAGAAATTTCTCCTTTATTCACTTTCTATAATATCACAATCTTTATTGCGTAACAATGCACACACTACCAGATCCCGCTCGTCCCGCGCCCGCTTTTTCGACCTTCGCCACTGACCGAGAGCCTGGAGTGAGCTAGAACACCTTATTCCCGTAGATCTACTCACTCCTGGGTTCCCTGTACGTGAACCTTCCTCTTTTTAACCTCAACGCTTTGGGCTGGATTAATGACATCATAAAGTCAAGTGAACTTTCTTGCCGAAACATTAGCTTAACAGAAGTGATCTTTANCACAAAGGGGAATATACGCTGAAATATACCTCTACACATTATTATCAGAATTTAAATGGGCATTCTTGCTATTGGTCGTGCTAAATACTAATTCCCTGCAACTCACCATGGAGTCTACAGAAGCTCCGGTTAAAACCTTGTGCATTGATACGGCTGATATTTTCTCCTCTGGTTCCATGGAAGAGTTGTCGTTCACCCTCAACTCCTCCATTGTCTTGGCTCATTTTCAATTTTTTCAACATGTAAGTCTGATACAGATGAGGATTTTGTATTCATTCAATTTTCTGGACATTTAGTGCACTTGCAGTGGCTTGCAACTTGTCCATGACATCTTGATACTCTGAGGAGTCTGAGGAGAGCTGTACTGTGTGCACAGTTGTGTTAGGGTGTGGCATTGGTGTCCAATTCTCAGGAAAAATAAATCCTGGTTCAGCGTAAAAAATGGTAAATTATGATATTAAATATTAATATCATCTTTATCTTGTGTATCTTCCTCGTAGTACCCAGCTAACATTAACTAAGTAGGCTGAAATAGTGTGTATATAATATTTAATTTCGAAAATCATTTTTGACAATACAGTAGAAATTCCCTTTATGGCCACCTCTTTAACACAGTCACCTCGTTGTTACGGCCACTTTTTTGTCCCAGAAAAATGCCCATACAATTTTTATAAGAAAACCCCATGAATACATGCAGTCAACCCATTAATTCAGGGTGGCAACAAAACAAATAATGGGAAACAAAATTAAAAAATACTCTTTTCTATTCAAAGTGCCTCACATTTCATGTCATTATTTCCATGGTTATGAAAGGACTACCTCTTGAGATATCTAAACCTAAATTAATTAGAACATGGTCATCAGTACAAATTTATCACATACATATAAATATTTTAGCTTGTAGGATGCTGTCTTGTAGTCATGACATTATTTGATACCTGCATGCATATCACTCAGTGTGAGATTAAGGGTTTAGAGGCAGGGGGAACGGAAGGCTATCCCGTCTCTGCCAAAATATATTTTTCTATCAGCCCAAACCCTGGGGGGAACTCCCATATATGGGGGTGCTTGTCATACCTTTAAGGGATTAAAAAAGTGGATTTCATATCTCTTAGGGTCTTCAGCCTCAAAAGGTCCACAGCAGGAGCTTTTGCAGTGCATGTTAGGCATTACGCAAAAAAAAATATTACAGGGGATAATGTGTTGTTTTAGAATTGGTACCTTTTAGGGTTGAAAACAATTTCAAGCCACACCCACAAAGCATTCAAAGCAGGATCTTGGGACTTCTTAGAGATCTTTCCAAAATTTCCAACGAGAACCCTCGTCCTTTTTCATGTGGGAGTCCGCTGACCTCCCCCCGCGCCCCAACCCAAATGATTAATGTAGGCACAGATTACCAAGACGGTGTGCATTACCAATGACTATTACCAGTACAAATATTAAAAAATGATTTCCAGTCCATACTGCGCAGTCTCAGCACCCTAATGTTTGTAAGCATTATGTCTCACTTGATGGAATGCAAATCAACATTATTTGTTGCAAACCACATACCTTATCTTTGAAGCCTTTCAAATTCTTTTTCCAACCGTTTCATTGATTTTTATGGCTGCGAAGTTCATTCATCAAGTGATACGAGACAGAGCAAAACATAAAGCTTCACATCCATAATGGCGGTTGACATGAAACTTTAAATTTACTTCACGTAATTAGACGCAAAATGTTACATTTTATGATGTCTTACATGAACCAACACAAAAAACGTAAACAAACTCTCGAGAGTGTGCAGTACGGATTGAAAATAATCTTTAATCACAATAACAATCACAATAACCTGCAGGTTGATCAGAGGATCTCAACCACTTCCTGGTTAGTATTATGTGTTCACCAGTCTGCTGCCCCTGGCCAGTTTTAGTCATCAGATCAATAATAAACACTTCTCCATGTAGGCTTACGTCTACTCTGGGTTCATCTTTGTAGTATGCCATCTCAATCTTTTCCTTTGTTTCCTGATCACATAATATTTTAGTCCCATGTCTTTCATAACTCCATTCTGTGCTCGCTAAATCTGGACCGGTATGTTGTCCTCCACCAAGCATAATGTTGAAAGCTTCACCGAGTACACTCGAATTAATTTGTTACCTGCAATAGCACGTAATTATATTACACATGTATATCATTCATTCCAATTACAACGAAAACATACATTAGAATATACATCAGAGCATTTGATTTCGAGCCGGAAGGGATACTTCGATTCGGTTCGAAGCTAAGTTTATGCTAAGAAACGGGGAAAATTTACTAGTGTTTATTGAATGTCGGAAACTGTAGGACATTTAGGTGCGGAGGCTAAAATGAAAATTCTACGTGTATCGCAACGTTTTAGCATTCGATCATGGACTAAAAATAACAACTCTGTATAGTTGTTTACATCCCTGACATCCCTTTGTCCTGCCTAAATAAAATGTCACGCAAACTCAGAGCGATAGCCAGTGTATAAACAACAAAACATAGCGAGGTGGCTGAGGAGTGTTAAGGAATACATGAGACAAACCCAGAACTACATACGTAAGTTAGATGATATCTTCATGTCCTTATATTATACTGTGCTGTAGAACGATCTAGATGAGGTATCATTCACGAATCACGCAAGCCCGTGTCAAAAACCACGTACCACCAAACAGGCACGGAAATACGTTGTTATTGAGTAGAAACCTAACCTAAAAAAAAGTAGTGGCTTACCTTCAGGTAAGAAGAAATAAAACCCCGAGGGATCGGCTACACGTAGGCTATGAGGGATCAGGCAATCAAGGAAGTGCATGCCGTCACATGAAGCTTATTTTTTTGGTGCCACGTGACCTGACATCATGGGTGATAACACTGGTCATACAGTGTGTTCACGTGACGTCATCAAATTCTCAAATCCAAAACTAAAGTCATCCTCATCAGGAAATAAAAAGGCTAAAAAGCTAAAATTACAATTAAACGTAAACTTACAATGATTTTAAAATGCTAAAATTACAACTTAATATACATTTATCTCGTGATTTTTAGCCATTTTAGGAGTTAAAATATTAGGAGTGCTTGTGTAAATGTTTTTTGGTTCTGTTCAGATAATCAGACAACTAGATAACCAAAGTAAGTTTTCCGGCCGCGATATTGGAGGACTAAGGAGGTCCACCAACATGGCGGGGGGCTCTATAATTTTGCGCGGAACATTTCGACGAATATCTCAACTTTGGGACAACGCACACAGCTTAAACTTGGAGAAATTTCTCCTTTATTCACTTTCTATAATATCACAATCTTTATTGCGTAACAATGCACACACTACCAGATCCCGCTCGTCCCGCGCCCGCTTTTTCGACCTTCGCCACTGACCGAGAGCCTGGAGTGAGCTAGAACACCTTATTCCCGTAGATCTACTCACTCCTGGGTTCCCTGTACGTGAACCTTCCTCTTTTTAACCTCAACGCTTTGGGCTGGATTAATGACATCATAAAGTCAAGTGAACTTTCTTGCCGAAACATTAGCTTAACAGAAGTGATCTTTACTTTGAGTGCTTATCCCCTGGGGAGGGTACTCCCATATAGAAAGGTCGGGAGTTAAAAAAAAAGTGGTTTTGGTACCTCTCAGGGTGTTCAGCCTCAAAAGCCCCACGGCGGGAGCTTTCGCGGTACCTCTTAGGGTATTGAGTTGAAAAAAATATGCCAGGGGATGTGTTGTTTTAGAATTGGTACCTCTTTAGTCTCCTTCGCAACCGTTATTAGGGTCGTCACGCAACGCTCCTCCCCACTAACGGGTTAGTGGGGAGGAGCATTGCGTGACGACCCTAATAACGGCTGCGAAGGAGACTAGTACCTCTTAGGGGTGAAAAAATTTTCCGATGAGCACCCCGGTCCCTTGTATATGGGAGTTTCCCCCGGTGCTTATCGTGTTTAAATACAGAATAAGATAATGGCGACTTTTAGGCTAATAAAGAGAAGGCATGCATTGATGCATTTTCTAGCGAGCTTGACAATGTGACACGTAGGAACCCGTTGGAAATCCATTTCCTCCTGAAACGACTTCAGAGATGTGTCCGAGAGGCCATTACCGTACATCTATATAATTCTTTGGGTCCGAATTGTAACAGTTGCACCAACGATGACACTGATTCTTAACCCATTTTCACTCTCAAACTTATTTAAGTCGTTCCTGGAATTTGGTTACTATTCTGATCATGTGTTCCGTAAAATATTTACTCCGATGAATGTAGAACAGAAACACCAGTTCAAGTTAATTTCATGTTCAATAACATTCCAATCCTAACATTCACATCTAAAAAAAAATTACATGTCGAAGTCCTCCTAAGTACCTTATTATGAATTATTCAAATTTTACATACGCTACTTAAATTAAAACGCATTGAAGGAAAAATTACATCCTAACAATGGAAGCTTCACGGGAGAGAGGTGCTAACATTTCAACACGGGGTTAATTAACGCGACTTATTACGCAAAGGGACAACACAAGGTGTAAAAATCTCAGCTGCAAACCAGTTCGTGGAATTGTCCCATAACGCAGGGGTCTAGCGAAGCAATCCTGCCACATCGAGGGTTCTTCACGGTGAACATGATAGTGACGGATCTCCACCCTAATAGATTTCCCTTCTGCTCCAAGACATTCGTAGAATGCCTTTGTTAGCTTAGCATGGGATGGTATAGCGAAACTGGGACGAAAATAATGGAATTAATCGTGTCTATAACAAAATTCTCGATTGGGATTGGTTCTCCGCGCGTCTATTTGTCACGTAATCGGTGCGCGATCACGTGGGTGTCCAGTTACAGGTATCCAATTTGAACTTTTTGTAATTGGATACCTGTAATTGGATACTCACGCAATTCGCATGCCAATTACGCGCGCTTGTTTTCGCTCAAAAGAAGTTCTCAAAAGACATTTTTAACTCCGAAATTTGTTTTAGACACGATTAATTAGTAATTGGACCTCGTGTCGTACAATTCAGGCCGGGAGTAATCGTGCTCGTAATTTCAAATCGGCCTCGCGCTTCGCGCTCGTCCGATTTTAAGATCATTCGCCCGATTACTGCCTGAATTGTACTCCACTCGGTCCGATTACTATTACTAATCACGAGGCGTTAATTTCCTGTAAGAGAGCAGCTGTTTTTACTTTACATTATGAATATTACCATAAGGGTTAAAGATGAATAAATTTCCGTCATGGCCTCATAACTACAACATTCTTACTGGAGATATAATTCAATGCTAGTTTTTCATAATTTCGCAACCACGGATAACGGAGCCACGGGGGGAGGGGGGTGCTCCCTATAATGTCCTATACGAAGAGGCTCCGCTCAAAAGGGTACCTTTTCACCCTTCAGGTATATAAGAGGGTAAGGATTCCACATGTTGAGGTATATGAAAGGGTAGGGAAATCTATCATCTCGACCCCGGCACAACGTGAATTAGATGAATAATACTTGCTTGTTTGGTTAACATGGTGAAAGGGGGACCTTTTCTGTCAAACGGTATACAAAAGGGTAATATAAGGGGTTCAGTGGACCTCGGGGCGGAGCCCCCCCCCCCCNATCCCGGCACAACGTGAATTAAATGAAAAATACTTGTTTGTTTGGCTAACACGGTGAAAGGGGTAGAGTTTCTGTCAAATGGTATACAAAAGGGTAAGGGGTTGGACCTCGGGGCCCCCCCCCCCCCCCCCCGGATAAAACTTTGTAGGTACCCCCTTCCCCAGGAACGGGACAAACGGCCTTTGAAACCACCGTACGCTAAGGAAAAACGCACTTTGAAAAGTGCATAGAAAAAACACTACTCACTACATTTCATTCACTGCTCTCTCCGAATAAACCAGGTAAACTGTGCATAATTAAAATATAACTGATTGAACTACAAACTACTTTTCTACCAAGGATGTCGACGCATAAGGATTTTGCCTACTGCATAGTTATAAGGTATTCAGGGTAGCACTGATTATCATAAAATACAACAAAAATAGACGGGTTTCCTTGATTATTAACCACTGATTCATACAATATCTCAGGTCTTGAATGATTCTTTGGGGGAGGCACTATCATTGAAGAGTTGCCCACACAATACTGCCCGACCAGGACCCGGGCAAGGTACATGTGGCGGCCCCCGACTCCTCCCCTTGCGTAACCAAGTGAGTATTGAGCGTCTCTTGCAAAATACACACCGCGGCCAAAGGCAACTCCTGCAAGGAACAGAAAAAGTGTTTAAAAGGATAACACATTTGTCTGCATATATTCTGCATTGAAATGATTCCAAACTATTCATCTAGCAGCATAAGAAAATTTATTACAGAAAAAAAATTACTTAGATACCGATCAGAATAGAGGTAATATGAGTAATTTTTGAGCGAAGACGGATGTTAAGAGCACTACCTCATGTTATCAGCAAGAATAGGGCGGATATTCCTGTAATTCACTGGAGTAAATTGAAATGGAAGGCCTTTTGTTTCTAAATCCGGGATAAGCCCAACGAAAAAGTTAAATAATCGATCCAATGGGGATAGTGAGCTACCCTTCCAGAGTAATGGTGTAACTAACAAACCACTCACCATGAGCCCCACAAAAGCTTCTGTTAAATCCTTGAGTGTTGATATGGCTGACATTTTTAGAATCGGTTCCATGAAACAGCTGCCGTTCACTGTTCCCACCGATGTCTTTGTCCATCTTCTGTTTTCTTACGGTGTAAGACTGATAAAGATGAGGATTCTGAATTCGTTCTATTTTCTGAATACTCACTGCACCAGCGGTAGCTTGGAACTTGCGCTGGACATCCTGGTACTCAGTGGAACTTCGTGAGAGTGGAACCAGGTGCACTGTCATGTTAGCATTTGGCATTGGCGTCCAGTGTTTGGGAAGAGCAATTCCTGAAAACAGAATGGCTACTACGTTAACAAATAGTCTACACAAAAACAGACAAGTCTATCCATTCTAGTTTCCTCTATAATACCCCAGACAAAGATTGACAAACGACTAGGCTGAATATGAATGGGTCCGTGATCGCTAACTCCACTGACACCAAACTAAACCAACGATCTTAGAAACAGGTGACGAAGAACGATGTGACACCGTTCTTTTCCCCTTTAATTCTATCAAATTCTCTGTTTGAAAACTTGCTATAGGGTATCGAGAAAGCTTTGGAAATGGTGTAAGCCGGGGTCGATTCACTTATTTTCAGCATCACCCCCCTTAATTTAAATGGATGTCTAACTGTAAAAACCTTCACCCTTCACCATCTCAACAATTATTGTGGATGAATTGTCTGCGTTACGTGGCAACGTGGTGCGCTGCTCTGCTCTGCTCTGCCCTGCCCTGCTCCGCGAGCCTCTGCTCTGCATTGCTTTGCTGTGATCTTACTTTAAGGAGTGTTTTTGCGCGGTTTTCCATTTCAGAGCTGTACTTCTGATGCCAAAATAACAATAATAATAATAACCGGTAACATAATGGACTGTGACTCACCTTCTTCAGCTCCCTTTACCTTCCTCGTCAGTGTAATTTGTTCACCGGTTCGTTGCGCTCGGCCAGTTTTTGCCTTCAAATCGATAACAAACTGGTCTCCACGTAAAGATACTTGTACTATGGGCTTATCTTTGCTGCTCGCCATCTCAATCTTGGCGTTGGCTTTCCGACCGAAATTCATTTTACTACCATGTATTTCATAACTCCATTCTATGTTCATTGCCACCAGTTGCGCCTGTTCTTCCTCCTGGGTCTTTTTTGTCCTCTCACTTATCTCTTTCCAGATCTCCCCGACCATGCCGGACACTTCAGCCGGTTGACCCCGTACGACAATGCGATCAACATCAGCCTCGACTACAAGTTTGACGTCACGGTCCTCGGCTTTTCTTCTCAGGCTGACAATCTGTTTATGAGAGAGTTGACTAATGACCTCACTTTCGACTTTCTCAGTTGTACAAGCTTCAGAGAAACCTTTCTTCAAAGACTCCACAGCTTTTTCCACTCCAGCTTTTTTCTTGCCAATCACACAAATTCGCACAGAGTGGTCAAGACTTGCTTGTTTTATTGGACTTTTTACACGCATTCTTGGCTGGCCAGCATCTGTCTCATCTGAAGATGAGTCGCTTTCTTCTTCGTCCACATCTTGCATTGAGTCTCTCCGCTGCTCTTGCAAAAATTCATGGATCATCTGAGCTTGAAATACAACCACTCTCACTTTGCGAACACTCTTACAGCTGCCATTGAAGTTGTTGAGCGCTTGAAACGTTACCTGAGCCGAGTCCGCCGCGGCCAAGCCATATCCGCCGGTACCAACACTTGGAATTGAGATCGATCGAAGGTTGTGTGCATCTGCAACACGAAGACCCTCCTCCAAACATTGCTGAAGATGTTGTTTATCTGAAGATCCCGGAATTATGTGAATGATGTGAGATACTTGTAAGTTCCCGCCACTGGTCATCACAGCTGAGCCCGCGGACTGCTTTCCCAGCTGGCTACACTCTTGCTGCACCTGTTGACCGCTGGCTCTTGCTATTGCTTTGCTCAAGTCACCGGCGTTATTCATGTTCATATCTGCGCTGTTGATATTCATGATGGCGTCGGTTCTCTCTTGAGTTAGATCACCATTTATGACTTCCACACTAAAGCGGTGATCCTTACCAATGGGTGCAGCCGTGCCTCCACTAGAATACGAGAAGTGCCTCTGGTTCTCCTGCTGAAATGACTGCAGCATTTGAGGTTGGAAGACCACAATCCTAACCTTACGAATGTTGTTGAAACTTCCGCTAAAGTTGCCAAGAGCTTGAAATATCAGGCTAGCTGAGTCTACAGCAGACAAACCGAATGCTCCAGTTCCAATTGCTGGGATAGAAATGGACTGAAGACCTTTTGTTTCTGCAAGACGAAGGCATCTTTCCACGCACTGCTGCAGATGATCCTTTGTCGCAGAGTCTGGGATCATGTGAATGATGTGATGAGCTTTTAAATTCCCTCCACTAGTAATCACCGCTGATCCACCCGACTGCTGTCCCAACTGGTTGCACTCAGCCTCCACTTGAGGACCACTTGCTAGTTTCACTGCCTTGCTCAACGCTCCTGCAGTCTCCATATTCATGTCTTTGCTGGCTATATTCACGATGGCGTCTGTTGTCTCCTGGCACAAGTCACCTTGCAGAACCTCGATATGAACACCCCCCGAAGAGAGTGGGACCCTTCGTCGGAACCTAGAACGAATACTGCTTAACAGCCCCCTCATAGTGTAGGCAGGACGGAATTTGGATTTCAATTTGTCCATCTCTTGTTTGAAGGCAGCAGTTAATGCCTGATCTCCCTGGAACACGATAAATCGAATATCCTGCACGTTAGAATAAGGATTGTTTTGGCAAAAGCTGATCGTTTCTTCTAACATGATTCTCGAGGCTGCATCTCGTGGGAAGCCGAGTTTTCCAGTGCCTATGACAGGAAATGCAATGGACCTCGCTCCAAGCTCTTCCCCCTTCTGCAGAGACTTTTGGACGATGGCCCGTAGAGTCTAAAGTAAAAAGGAATGGCAAAAATTGACTGAACAGTAACTCTCCACCAATAAATTTTCAGGCAAAGAAATCGAAGGGTTTTTTTATTTCGTCGCGGGATTGAATTTGTATCGGTCTCGATCTTCCCCAAACGGTAACTAGCTTTGCTCATTTTTTGTTCTTTCCATTGGTATTTTACTACCTTGAAATATTGGGAGAACCAAAGAAAGCTGTGGAAACACTCGCCTGCATGTTCATTCTCCCTAACCTTTTATCGTGTTTTCATAACGCCATGGAAACACGTAAAGTGTTTCCTACTTCTTAAATGTTACTTCAAGGTAAAGAAAGAGCACTATTCATTCGGTAAATATACCTACCACGTCCCCTTGGCCACCCTGCCACTGGCAACAGTTTGTGTGGATCACTTGCTTGGTCAAAGGTAAACCGGAATTAACAGTAATGTCTCCAACGTTTGGATTTGTCATTGCAGGAACACCAGCATTGACTATCGCTTGACAGGATGCTCCGACCGAACTGACCAATACGTCAACCTGCAATTCCGGTTTAAAAAATTAATTCGTGAAGAATAAACAGTAAAAAAAATACACAACATTTATTAGTTAGCACTGAGAGCGCGGAGAAAATCCAGCAATTCCCCCGCGGGTTTGGGGAGGGTGAGATAACGATCAAGCGCCTTATATTAGACTTATCGGCTGAGCGACTTACAAATCCCAGTGACGTTGGGATCCCAGTGCCTTCAAGCTAGAAGGTTATCGCTACAGACGATCTACATCAATCGTTCTAAACAGAAGCTGATGACCAACGTAATTAAACACGACATGCCGTAACTATTATTCCCCTGGGGGAAGGCTACTCCCAGAAAAATTGGGTGGGTGTGTGCGGACCGCTTCCCAAAACTCTTGCCCCAATCAAGACCAAAATCTGCGATTTTCCGTACCCAAACCTGACCAAACATTCGATAGCCTATTTAATTAAGACCTCACACTTAAATCAATACCCTCTTTCAGACCTGCCTTATAATTAGTTTCCTAGCTCAGACCGATGTTGAAGGCATTGTGAAGGGTTGTAAAGAACAAACCTTAATATAGAGCGGTTTTCAATTGAGTGTCGTAAAATCAAAATCAAAATAATCGCTCTAGCCAATCACAAAGGACATAGACAATACAGTAAACCAATCAAAACTCCAAGTAATTACATGTAACTGACGCAATTCAAAGCGCGGGAAAACGAGTGCGCACGAGTCACGATTCGGTTTGGTTTTACTTCTGATTGGATGAAAAATTGGCGCGAGTTTTTTAAGCCAATCGTGTGGCGGAGTGCAAAACCAATCACTTTTCGACAGTCAAGTGAAAACCGCTCTATGTAGGAAAACAAAGACCGTAACAAGAGAGTGCGCTATTTATGTAAAATTCAATTTTGGTTGAAGAGCCAGTTAATTTTAGTTGATGAAGAACGAAAAACAATCAAAGAAGTGTAGTTGATTAATGTATTGTGCACTAAAGTACAGCTTACAAACGTTTGCCAGGTCTTACTCTAAATGGGATTAATTGAGTGACAGACAGTTAGGAAATAAGGATTTTCCTGAAATCTGACGAGCTGCAACTGAATTAAAAAGTCGAGGTCGTGAACTTCCGGGTAGCTGTCGTGATTGATGGCTCGCTGACAACTAATCAACTCTAAGAATCGGGCAACCTGGCCTGGGGGGACTCCCAAATGAAAAGGTCGGGGTTGCTCGTCGTCTCGATTAGGGGTATGAATCAAGGATTTTGGTCTCTTTTTGGTCTTCATGACAAAACGCCACTCTTTTTAGCTGTCAAAGTACTTTTCAGCTGCAAGGTTGACTCGAAGAAATAATAGTTAAAAAACGCTCTTATTTCCATTTTTGGGCTCGATTTCCACCGGTCTCTCTATTCCGGTCCACTAGTGCGGGCTTCTTTCCTGAACGGCGGTTGTTAATCGAGAATATTCTGTTTCAAGTGGTTTCTTTTAGGGGACAAATAGCGAATGAGCCACGCCCAGATTAGTCTCCTATATATAAGGGCGTGATTCAAATTTTTCCACGAGCATCCCCGACCATATTATATGGGAGTCCCTGGGTACTGAAAATAATAATAATAATAATAATAATCTTTATTGAGGAAACTTTTTCACGTACATGTGGTTTTCGAAAAGGAAAAGATTAATACTAATTAATAGAACTAAAAATCCAGCAATTCCCCCCACGGGTTGGGGGAGGGTGAGATAACGATCAAGCGCCTTATGTTAGACTTGTCGGCTGAGCGGCTTACTAATCCTAGTGACGTTGGGATCCCAGTGCCTCCAAGCTAGAAGGTTATCGCTACAGACGATCTACGTCAATCGTTCTTAACAGAAGCTGATGACCAACGTAATTAAACACGACAAACTGTAGCTGTTATTCCCCAGGGGAAGGCTAATCCCAGAAAATTTGGGTGGGTGTATGCGGCCCGCTTCTCAAAACCTTTGTCCTACTTAAGACAAAAATCTGCGATTTTCCCTGCCCTAACCTGACCAAACATTCGATACCCTATTTAATTAAGACCTCACCCCTTAAATCAATAGCCTCTTTCAGACCTGCCTTATAATTAGTTTCCTAACTCAGACCGATGTTAAAGGCATTGTGAAGGGTTGTGAGGTACAAACTTTAATATAGAGCGGTTTTCAATTGAGTGTCGTAAAATCAAAATCGAAGAAATCGCTTTAGCCAATCACAAAGGACATAAACAATACAGTAAACCAATCAAAACTCCAAGTAATTACATGTAACTGACGCAATTCAAGGCGCGGGAAAACGAGTACGAACGAGTCACGATTCGGTTTGGTTTTACTTCTGATTGGATGAAAAATTGGCGCGAGTTTTTTAAGCCAATCGTGTAGCGGAGTGCAAAACCAATTAATTTTCGACAGTCAAGTGAAAACCGCTCTATGTAGGAAAACAAAGAACGTAACAAGAGAGTGCGCTATTTATGTAAAATTCAATTTTGGTTGAAGAGCCAGTTAATTTTAGTTAATGAAGAACGAAAAACAATCAAAGAAGTATAGTTGATTAATGTATTGTGCACTAAAGTAAAGCTTACAAACGTTTGTCAGTTCTTACTCTAAATGGAATTAATTGAGTGACAGGCAGTTAGGAAATAAGGATTTTCCTGAAATCTGACGAGCTGCAACTGAATTAATAAGTCGAGGTCGTGAACTTCCGGGTAGCTGTCACGATTGATGGCTCGCTGACAACTAATCAACACTAAGAATCGATCGGGCAACCTGGCCTGGGGGGACTCCCAAATGAAAAGGTCGGGGATGCTTGTCGTCTCGCTTAGGGGTATGAATCAAGGATTTTGGTCTCTTTTTTGTGTTCATGACAAAACGCCACTATTTTTAGCTGTCAAAGTACTTTTCAGCTGCAGGATGGACTCGAAGAAGTAAAAGTTAAAAAACGCTCTTATTTCCATTTTTGGGCTCGATTTCCACCGGTCTCTCTATTCCGGTCCACTAGTGCGGGCTTCTTTCCTGAACGGCGGTTGTTAATCGAGAATATTCTGTTTCAAGTGGTTTCTTTTAGGGGACAAATAGCGAATGAGCCACGCCCAGATTAGTCTCCTATATATAAGGGCGTGATTCAAATTTTTCCACGAGCATCCCCGACCATATTATATGGGAGTCCCTGGGTACTGAAAAGAGATCAAGCAGTTTCGCTGTACACTCACCTTCTCCATCTCAATGTTTCCAGGTTTCCATGATATCTTGTGGCCTTGAGTCATCACCAAGGTAGACGCATCAGAATCGCTCACAGCAGCGTCGTCGTCACCTTCATCATCAACATCACTGTCATCATCGTCACTTCCAGACGAAGCAGAATCTACAGCCGCTGCTTGGCTGCGCGAGTCATCCCACCTTTGGCCAAAATTCTTGACTTGAATCGCACAGCTATGGTCCTTTTCCACTGATTTAACAAGACGATCTCCTTTACCACTGTCAAAGAACTTCCGAAGGCCTGGCTGTTTCACGTCAAATGTTTCAGACGCAGTGTCCTTTATGAGAGCGCCAAGCTTCTTTCTCGCACGAATCAAGCCTTCTTTGTTTCCAGAAATGTCAAAATCATCATCGCCTTTTCCTTTGTTAATCTTCACTTCAAAATCTTTCAGTTGATTTTCAATGGAGCGTAAATCTTCCTGACAAAGCTCGGCAACATACCTTCTGACAATCTGAGACGAGCATACAAAACGTTCATTCCTGATGCAGTTGCTCTCTAAAAACGTATTGAGCTTCTTCATCACCTCTATGACGTCATCCCGGAACCCAGCCACGTAGGTGTCATTCCAGTTGTTCCTATGGATACGGACAGATGTTTCAGTGTTGATTTCGTCACACAACCTGCGCCATTCTGCTGATTTCAATAAGTATTTGCTCTTATCATCCACTTGGACTTTTTCTTCCAACATCAGCTTGTTCACGAGCCTTGCGGCATTGTCCGCATGCGCAGCTGACGTCCCCACGATCTTGGCGTCTTTGTCAATGACGAACACTGCCTCCACATTGTTGTTTTCCAACTCACATTTCACTTTCTTTAACCCTTCGTCCGAGCCTAAAACTTCTAAGATGCGGTCGGATAGAGTCAAAGTCTTTTCAACCATGTCGGACATTTGTTTGTAAAACTTCATAGTTGCTTCTGTAAACTGTGGCTGAGGGCCTTCAAAATAGATTTCTTCACCTTCAGTGTCCAACTTTATCTCCAGCTCCTTGTTCTTCTCTTGAAGTTTCTCCACAAACTTGATCTTCTTCAACAGAATTAAGCGTTCCTCAGGAACGTTTGGTACTTTTTTCTTCAGGTAAGTTTTTCTGGTCTCCTCCCGGTATATCTCCTCCAATTTTGATTTCAACTTCTCTTCATAATCTTTCACATCTGAGCTCAGGGAAACAATTCTGGCAACAAAAGAATCATCGATAAGTTTGACCAGCGGAGGATCTACTCCCAAGCAGGCGAGAATAGTGGATAACTGTGACACCACGGCTCCCCAGAAATCTTTGTTGACTTGAACGTCGTGCTTCGCAAATTTGCCGAAGTAATTTTGTACTTCATCAATGCACTCGGACTGCCACGAATGACTGTCGTCTCCTCCCTGGTACACTATTACAGCCATTTTGTTGTTCGGTTTCCAGGTAATTTCACTCTTCTTCGCTGCCAGGGAATTTTTCAGCTTATCATGAAATACTGAAGTGGTGACGAATTCCATTACATCCGGGTCTACAGCTATGTGCAACTGCTGCGAATTCGCTTTGGACTGCTGGCTGACTTGAGTTTGTTCGGTACTGTCTGAGGTAGCCGCCAGTCCAGCTGAATCGTCTGGCACGTCATCCTCCTCACTTTCGAAAAACTCATTGTAGATTCTGATTGACAGTTGCGTTTGATTTAAGACATGTGGTTTTTCTTCCTGTCTGGCTAAAACTCTTTCCATATCTGTAAACGAAAAAATAAAATCTTTATACTCGAAGAACCGTACAATGACTACAATAAATGGAAATTAAATAGCTTAGAAACATGATTCCTTTTAATTTTTCCGGCGGCTTCCCTCCAGAACCGCAAATACAGTCTAACCTCCCGTAAGCGACTACAAAAAATGTCAAGTCTAGGTGGTCGCTTAAGGGAGGTGGTCGCCTACAAGAGCTTTGACCATATTGGGTCAAAATTTTGCCTCATTGGCATATGGTAACTGCAGAGACTTACCCCATGTTTTAATTGTTTTATTCATGTGAAAATCAATTTCGAGAAAAAAAATAGTATTCCCCATTGAGAAATTCCCGTCTCTTGAACTACTCAGGAATGCGGGCTTACAACACCTTATTATCCAATTTAAGCTCCATTATCTGTATAATGGTCGCTTAAGTTTTAAACTTTTAGCTCTGAAAGTGGCCGCGGTTGCTTACGAGAGGTGGTCGCTTACAAGAGGTTCAGAATATAGTGATTTGACTTGGAAACTTTTGGTATTTTGGAAAACTGCTCGTTGAGGAGAGGTGGTCGCTTACAAGAGGTGGTCGCAAGCGCTGACAGAGGTTCAACTGTAAGCAAAAACAAAAGGGAGGGGGAAGTTTTGGAATGAAATTTGTAGTTGAGGCTATCCCATGGCCAAATTGAAGCCAAGACAGTTTGCAATCTGTTTTTCTCTCCTAGAGATTGGGACGAGATCTGGGCGCGCCAAGCACTTTCGTCTACAACACCCCTTTGCGTTTGCCTTCGCAGATAGACCCTCGTCGGCCCCTGAGAGGAATGTCCGGCTGCTAGCAGTCTGCATGGGCTCTGAATATCTTGTCTAAAGAGCTATCAACAAAAGGCTGCTAACCGGAGCCGTTAGTTACAATTGTGTTACAAACCTTTTGGATCTTCAAACACAACCACAGCTCTACCACTTTTAGGTACAAAATGTACGCTTTCCACAGGACCCCCACTGTTTCTTCGACTTTCGAAGTGTAGTTCAATAGCATCATGGGTAGCATTATCCGAAATGCCGCTGACGACAATGCTTGTACAGAGAGGAACTTGTTTGATGGTAACCTTTGCTGAATTTAAGCCTCTTTTTTCGCCTTTGGTCTTGATTCTACTAAAATCTAATATGAATAAAAGCATAACTAAATTCATGACGCCTTCCCATATAAAACCAACCGAGGCTATAATTTACAGTACAACTACTATGGACCTTTTTAGCTTAGGTGATTTGCTGCCCCATTTCAGAGCATGTGATGATCAGGCTCTTGAGAATTCTTGCTTTCAAGTTTTCAAATAGCCCTGTGTATACGAATGAATAATTTTTAGATGGATAAAGGAACAATTCTCTTGAGAATATCACGCGGTCTGTGATGGGAAAACAAACCACCCAAGCTAAAAGGGTCTATTGTAAGAAACAAACAAACTTCAGAAAACTCATTTACTATACTAACATTGGAGACTTATAGAAGAGTGTTTCCCTAGTATATCATACTTTAGTATTCAGAAACACAATTTTTCACAAAATATTGGTGTGGCTGTACTTCGTACTCGTTGCTGAAATATTTCCATGCACGGAAGAACCTTAAGGAAAAACAACACTGACCAATGTTGATTTCTTTGCAGCGGAAATTGAATTGCAATCAGCTGAAAATTCCAACTCCTATTTCAAGGCTACTCCCTATTGAACTCAAAAGATGGCGGGTTGAAATAGGCTGGCAGTAAGAAAAATAACGATACAGAAGAGATCTCCAAATGAACTGTGAAATCACACCTCAACTTGACTAACCTGTTATGTCGTTGGCCATTGTGACCAGGGCTTTGTCGTTTCTCAGCGTTACTTCCTTCACCTCTTCACCGCTCATAACTTCGATGAAGTTCGTCACGCATTCTTCAGTCGTTGATCCACTCAGCCCACAAACGAGTAACTGATTCCGTTCAAATCGAGACTGCTCCTTTACATTTGATCCAGCCTGACCGGAGTTCTGGTCACCACTCTCTGTGACACTCGACAAGCTCTGCGCACGTCTCATTCCTCCCCGACCACGCCCTCTGTTACCATTATTTCGAGGTCTCCCGCGGTTTCCTTGACCGCGTCTGTTTGGATCATCTCCCCCAAAAGGACCTAGTAGAGAGTCGTTATTAGCACTGCGTTTCACCGCATTACCGTCAGTGAAGTCAGACGGTTGCAATGGAGCTGCAGTTCTTCCACGAACCTCCCTCCTTCGTTGATTCTGTTGGCTGGCTCCACCTCTCTCTGGATAATGCTGCCTTTGGTTAAATTGAGGCTGAGAATCGCCATAACAAAACTGATCGCCATGCTGGAAACTTTCGCCAGGTGTCTGATAATTACTACCTCTTCCCCTGTAGCCTCGACCCCTGTTCTTTGGCTTCGGTTTTGGTGGATGTCCTCGACCACCGCGGTTTCCATGTCCTCTTTGAGGCTGGAAGATGTCGTCACCACCAAAGCCACATCCTTGAGACAATCCAACATCATTATCTCTGAATCCTTGGTAGTCACTTTGTCCCTGTGCAAAACCGCCTCTGGAACCTCCCCTTGGTGCTCCTCTTGGCCTTCCCTTGTACCCTCCTCTTTGCTTTGCATTTTGGCCTCGATTACCTTGGTAACCGCCCCTGTTTTCCGCCCTGGTATCGTCAAAGCTATCTCTTCTCAAGTCTTGTATCTCTTCATGTTCCTTGGGCATGTCATTGTCGCTTCTAATCCTATTTCTCCTCTTTTTTCCTCGGAAATTCCTCGGCTGATCAGTTCCTCTAGAACTCGTTTCCTCTACAGTACCTGTCAAGGGCTTGACTGTCGGTGGGCTTTTGAATATGTCCTGTGGATTTTCCATATCTTGAAATTCCTGTAGCCGCTGGCTTGCTATTGCAACGTTTCCCTTGACGTCATCGCCATTTAGAACTCTTCTGATCAGGACTGGTGGCAAACAGCTGAAAATTTCCTCAAGCTTTTTCAGTTTTTCTTCCATCTCCTCGGGGTCTTCGTCTTGTACGTTCTTGCTAGTAACAGATGACATCTCCGCTGTCAAATTATTTTTAGCCTTCTCTTCCCCATTGTCATCTTCTGACTCAACAAAGCGACTGACATCAAAATCGTCTTCCTCTTCTTCGAAATTTTCGTCTTGTTCTTCCTCTTCTTCATATTCATCCTCTGTAAATCAAAGTTCATTAAAAGATATTTTGGAACGTCATGGTCACTCATACACATTATAAGAGTGATGAACAAAATTGACTTCAATCGAAGGAAAGGTAACGTTTGACTAGAACTAAAAACTAATCCGGATATTTGAGATAAGCGAAAATTGATACAAAATTCCAATAATAAACGTGAAATATAGACACGTCATTCTTAGCCTGATTCTCACACGGTCCAGGTCATTCCCAGCCACGCACAGAAAGAGTGCATGGCCGCGAGAGACCTGGACCGTCTGAGAATTCGTGACTGAGTTCGTTTAGAAATCCCGAAGGACAAAGGGATCCCACGCGTTAGACTGTGTCTCTTTCATATCGGCGCTCGATCTGTCAAAGAGTTGGCCGTTCGGCCATTATGTTTTGGNGGGTTTGGGGAGGGTGAGATAACGATCAAGCGCCTTATATTAGACTTATCGGCTGAGCGACTTACAAATCCCAGTGACGTTGGGATCCCAGTGCCTTCAAGCTAGAAGGTTATCGCTACAGACGATCTACATCAATCGTTCTAAACAGAAGCTGATGACCAACGTAATTAAACACGACATGCCGTAACTATTATTCCCCTGGGGGAAGGCTACTCCCAGAAAAATTGGGTGGGTGTGTGCGGACCGCTTCCCAAAACTCTTGCCCCAATCAAGACCAAAATCTGCGATTTTCCGTACCCAAACCTGACCAAACATTCGATAGCCTATTTAATTAAGACCTCACACTTAAATCAATACCCTCTTTCAGACCTGCCTTATAATTAGTTTCCTAGCTCAGACCGATGTTGAAGGCATTGTGAAGGGTTGTAAAGAACAAACCTTAATATAGAGCGGTTTTCAATTGAGTGTCGTAAAATCAAAATCAAAATAATCGCTCTAGCCAATCACAAAGGACATAGACAATACAGTAAACCAATCAAAACTCCAAGTAATTACATGTAACTGACGCAATTCAAAGCGCGGGAAAACGAGTGCGCACGAGTCACGATTCGGTTTGGTTTTACTTCTGATTGGATGAAAAATTGGCGCGAGTTTTTTAAGCCAATCGTGTGGCGGAGTGCAAAACCAATCACTTTTCGACAGTCAAGTGAAAACCGCTCTATGTAGGAAAACAAAGACCGTAACAAGAGAGTGCGCTATTTATGTAAAATTCAATTTTGGTTGAAGAGCCAGTTAATTTTAGTTGATGAAGAACGAAAAACAATCAAAGAAGTGTAGTTGATTAATGTATTGTGCACTAAAGTACAGCTTACAAACGTTTGCCAGGTCTTACTCTAAATGGGATTAATTGAGTGACAGACAGTTAGGAAATAAGGATTTTCCTGAAATCTGACGAGCTGCAACTGAATTAAAAAGTCGAGGTCGTGAACTTCCGGGTAGCTGTCGTGATTGATGGCTCGCTGACAACTAATCAACTCTAAGAATCGGGCAACCTGGCCTGGGGGGACTCCCAAATGAAAAGGTCGGGGTTGCTCGTCGTCTCGATTAGGGGTATGAATCAAGGATTTTGGTCTCTTTTTGGTCTTCATGACAAAACGCCACTCTTTTTAGCTGTCAAAGTACTTTTCAGCTGCAAGGTTGACTCGAAGAAATAATAGTTAAAAAACGCTCTTATTTCCATTTTTGGGCTCGATTTCCACCGGTCTCTCTATTCCGGTCCACTAGTGCGGGCTTCTTTCCTGAACGGCGGTTGTTAATCGAGAATATTCTGTTTCAAGTGGTTTCTTTTAGGGGACAAATAGCGAATGAGCCACGCCCAGATTAGTCTCCTATATATAAGGGCGTGATTCAAATTTTTCCACGAGCATCCCCGACCATATTATATGGGAGTCCCTGGGTACTGAAAAGAGATCAAGCAGTTTCGCTGTACACTCACCTTCTCCATCTCAATGTTTCCAGGTTTCCATGATATCTTGTGGCCTTGAGTCATCACCAAGGTAGACGCATCAGAATCGCTCACAGCAGCGTCGTCGTCACCTTCATCATCAACATCACTGTCATCATCGTCACTTCCAGACGAAGCAGAATCTACAGCCGCTGCTTGGCTGCGCGAGTCATCCCACCTTTGGCCAAAATTCTTGACTTGAATCGCACAGCTATGGTCCTTTTCCACTGATTTAACAAGACGATCTCCTTTACCACTGTCAAAGAACTTCCGAAGGCCTGGCTGTTTCACGTCAAATGTTTCAGACGCAGTGTCCTTTATGAGAGCGCCAAGCTTCTTTCTCGCACGAATCAAGCCTTCTTTGTTTCCAGAAATGTCAAAATCATCATCGCCTTTTCCTTTGTTAATCTTCACTTCAAAATCTTTCAGTTGATTTTCAATGGAGCGTAAATCTTCCTGACAAAGCTCGGCAACATACCTTCTGACAATCTGAGACGAGCATACAAAACGTTCATTCCTGATGCAGTTGCTCTCTAAAAACGTATTGAGCTTCTTCATCACCTCTATGACGTCATCCCGGAACCCAGCCACGTAGGTGTCATTCCAGTTGTTCCTATGGATACGGACAGGTGTTTCAGTGTTGATTTCGTCACACAACCTGCGCCATTCTGCTGATTTCAATAAGTATTTGCTCTTATCATCCACTTGGACTTTTTCTTCCAACATCAGCTTGTTCACGAGCCTTGCGGCATTGTCCGCATGCGCAGCTGACGTCCCCACGATCTTGGCGTCTTTGTCAATGACGAACACTGCCTCCACATTGTTGTTTTCCAACTCACATTTCACTTTCTTTAACCCTTCGTCCGAGCCTAAAACTTCTAAGATGCGGTCGGATAGAGTCAAAGTCTTTTCAACCATGTCGGACATTTGTTTGTAAAACTTCATAGTTGCTTCTGTAAACTGTGGCTGAGGGCCTTCAAAATAGATTTCTTCACCTTCAGTGTCCAACTTTATCTCCAGCTCCTTGTTCTTCTCTTGAAGTTTCTCCACAAACTTGATCTTCTTCAACAGAATTAAGCGTTCCTCAGGAACGTTTGGTACTTTTTTCTTCAGGTAAGTTTTTCTGGTCTCCTCCCGGTATATCTCCTCCAATTTTGATTTCAACTTCTCTTCATAATCTTTCACATCTGAGCTCAGGGAAACAATTCTGGCAACAAAAGAATCATCGATAAGTTTGACCAGCGGAGGATCTACTCCCAAGCAGGCGAGAATAGTGGATAACTGTGACACCACGGCTCCCCAGAAATCTTTGTTGACTTGAACGTCGTGCTTCGCAAATTTGCCGAAGTAATTTTGTACTTCATCAATGCACTCGGACTGCCACGAATGACTGTCGTCTCCTCCCTGGTACACTATTACAGCCATTTTGTTGTTCGGTTTCCAGGTAATTTCACTCTTCTTCGCTGCCAGGGAATTTTTCAGCTTATCATGAAATACTGAAGTGGTGACGAATTCCATTACATCCGGGTCTACAGCTATGTGCAACTGCTGCGAATTCGCTTTGGACTGCTGGCTAACTTGAGTTTGTTCGGTACTGACTGAGGTAGCCGCCAGTACAGCTGAATCGTCTGGCACGTCAACCTCCTCACTTTCGAAAAACTCATTGTAGATTCTGATTGACAGTTGCGTTTGATTTAAGACATGTGGTTTTTCTTCCTGTCTGGCTAAAACTCTTTCCATATCTGTAAACGAAAAAATAAAATCTTTATACTCGAAGAACCGTACAATGACTACAATAAATGGAAATTAAATAGCTTAGAAACATGATTCCTTTTAATTTTTCCGGCGGCTTCCCTCCAGAACCGCAAATACAGTCTAACCTCCCGTAAGCGACTACAAAAAATGTCAAGTCTAGGTGGTCGCTTAAGGGAGGTGGTCGCCTACAAGAGCTTTGACCATATTGGGTCAAAATTTTGCCTCATTGGCATATGGTAACTGCAGAGACTTACCCCATGTTTTAATTGTTTTATTCATGTGAAAATCAATTTCGAGAAAAAAAATAGTATTCCCCATTGAGAAATTCCCGTCTCTTGAACTACTCAGGAATGCGGGCTTACAACACCTTATTATCCAATTTAAGCTCCATTATCTGTATAATGGTCGCTTAAGTTTTAAACTTTTAGCTCTGAAAGTGGCCGCGGTTGCTTACGAGAGGTGGTCGCTTACAAGAGGTTCAGAATATAGTGATTTGACTTGGAAACTTTTGGTATTTTGGAAAACTGCTCGTTGAGGAGAGGTGGTCGCTTACAAGAGGTGGTCGCAAGCGCTGACAGAGGTTCAACTGTAAGCAAAAACAAAAGGGAGGGGGAAGTTTTGGAATGAAATTTGTAGTTGAGGCTATCCCATGGCCAAATTGAAGCCAAGACAGTTTGCAATCTGTTTTTCTCTCCTAGAGATTGGGACGAGATCTGGGCGCGCCAAGCACTTTCGTCTACAACACCCCTTTGCGTTTGCCTTCGCAGATAGACCCTCGTCGGCCCCTGAGAGGAATGTCCGGCTGCTAGCAGTCTGCATGGGCTCTGAATATCTTGTCTAAAGAGCTATCAACAAAAGGCTGCTAACCGGAGCCGTTAGTTACAATTGAGTTACAAACCTTTTGGATCTTCAAACACAACCACAGCTCTACCACTTTTAGGTACAAAATGTACGCTTTCCACAGGACCCCCACTGTTTCTTCGACTTTCGAAGTGTAGTTCAATAGCATCATGGGTAGCATTATCCGAAATGCCGCTGACGACAATGCTTGTACAGAGAGGAACTTGTTTGATGGTAACCTTTGCTGAATTTAAGCCTCTTTTTTCGCCTTTGGTCTTGATTCTACTAAAATCTAATATGAATAAAAGCATAACTAAATTCATGACGCCTTCCCATATAAAACCAACCGAGGCTATAATTTACAGTACAACTACTATGGACCTTTTTAGCTTAGGTGATTTGCTGCCCCATTTCAGAGCATGTGATGATCAGGCTCTTGAGAATTCTTGCTTTCAAGTTTTCAAATAGCCCTGTGTATACGAATGAATAATTTTTAGATGGATAAAGGAACAATTCTCTTGAGAATATCACGCGGTCTGTGATGGGAAAACAAACCACCCAAGCTAAAAGGGTCTATTGTAAGAAACAAACAAACTTCAGAAAACTCATTTACTATACTAACATTGGAGACTTATAGAAGAGTGTTTCCCTAGTATATCATACTTTAGTATTCAGAAACACAATTTTTCACAAAATATTGGTGTGGCTGTACTTCGTACTCGTTGCTGAAATATTTCCATGCACGGAAGAACCTTAAGGAAAAACAACACTGACCAATGTTGATTTCTTTGCAGCGGAAATTGAATTGCAATCAGCTGAAAATTCCAACTCCTATTTCAAGGCTACTCCCTATTGAACTCAAAAGATGGCGGGTTGAAATAGGCTGGCAGTAAGAAAAATAACGATACAGAAGAGATCTCCAAATGAACTGTGAAATCACACCTCAACTTGACTAACCTGTTATGTCGTTGGCCATTGTGACCAGGGCTTTGTCGTTTCTCAGCGTTACTTCCTTCACCTCTTCACCGCTCATAACTTCGATGAAGTTCGTCACGCATTCTTCAGTCGTTGATCCACTCAGCCCACAAACGAGTAACTGATTCCGTTCAAATCGAGACTGCTCCTTTACATTTGATCCAGCCTGACCGGAGTTCTGGTCACCACTCTCTGTGACACTCGACAAGCTCTGCGCACGTCTCATTCCTCCCCGACCACGCCCTCTGTTACCATTATTTCGAGGTCTCCCGCGGTTTCCTTGACCGCGTCTGTTTGGATCATCTCCCCCAAAAGGACCTAGTAGAGAGTCGTTATTAGCACTGCGTTTCACCGCATTACCGTCAGTGAAGTCAGACGGTTGCAATGGAGCTGCAGTTCTTCCACGAACCTCCCTCCTTCGTTGATTCTGTTGGCTGGCTCCACCTCTCTCTGGATAATGCTGCCTTTGGTTAAATTGAGGCTGAGAATCGCCATAACAAAACTGATCGCCATGCTGGAAACTTTCGCCAGGTGTCTGATAATTACTACCTCTTCCCCTGTAGCCTCGACCCCTGTTCTTTGGCTTCGGTTTTGGTGGATGTCCTCGACCACCGCGGTTTCCATGTCCTCTTTGAGGCTGGAAGATGTCGTCACCACCAAAGCCACATCCTTGAGACAATCCAACATCATTATCTCTGAATCCTTGGTAGTCACTTTGTCCCTGTGCAAAACCGCCTCTGGAACCTCCCCTTGGTGCTCCTCTTGGCCTTCCCTTGTACCCTCCTCTTTGCTTTGCATTTTGGCCTCGATTACCTTGGTAACCGCCCCTGTTTTCCGCCCTGGTATCGTCAAAGCTATCTCTTCTCAAGTCTTGTATCTCTTCATGTTCCTTGGGCATGTCATTGTCGCTTCTAATCCTATTTCTCCTCTTTTTTCCTCGGAAATTCCTCGGCTGATCAGTTCCTCTAGAACTCGTTTCCTCTACAGTACCTGTCAAGGGCTTGACTGTCGGTGGGCTTTTGAATATGTCCTGTGGATTTTCCATATCTTGAAATTCCTGTAGCCGCTGGCTTGCTATTGCAACGTTTCCCTTGACGTCATCGCCATTTAGAACTCTTCTGATCAGGACTGGTGGCAAACAGCTGAAAATTTCCTCAAGCTTTTTCAGTTTTTCTTCCATCTCCTCGGGGTCTTCGTCTTGTACGTTCTTGCTAGTAACAGATGACATCTCCGCTGTCAAATTATTTTTAGCCTTCTCTTCCCCATTGTCATCTTCTGACTCAACAAAGCGACTGACATCAAAATCGTCTTCCTCTTCTTCGAAATTTTCGTCTTGTTCTTCCTCTTCTTCATATTCATCCTCTGTAAATCAAAGTTCATTAAAAGATATTTTGGAACGTCATGGTCACTCATACACATTATAAGAGTGATGAACAAAATTGACTTCAATCGAAGGAAAGGTAACGTTTGACTAGAACTAAAAACTAATCCGGATATTTGAGATAAGCGAAAATTGATACAAAATTCCAATAATAAACGTGAAATATAGACACGTCATTCTTAGCCTGATTCTCACACGGTCCAGGTCATTCCCAGCCACGCACAGAAAGAGTGCATGGCCGCGAGAGACCTGGACCGTCTGAGAATTCGTGACTGAGTTCGTTTAGAAATCCCGAAGGACAAAGGGATCCCACGCGTTAGACTGTGTCTCTTTCATATCGGCGCTCGATCTGTCAAAGAGTTGGCCGTTCGGCCATTATGTTTTGG